TTATTGTACGGACACAATTCACATTTAACATCTTAAAATCAGTCTCCTGAAAAGATGTTATTTTGCAGATGAGGCCTTATTACGCCAAGGGCGCGATTTTAGAAAGATTTTCCTCTATTTGAGATTCAATTCAATTTCAAATAAAAAAAATTAAATACTTCTGTGTTAATGCCATGATATAATTTTGTAATAAGATAGTAAGTAAGTGAATTTCACTAACTTTTTTTATCTCTTTGTTATATAATTTCTAAAGTTTTTGACGGCTCTGCTGCGTAGCTTTCTTTCTTTGTTTGTGTTCAAAAGTTCGTAATGTCACTCATCGAATTCGTCGGCCTCTGTGGCCCAACGATTTACGAGTAGCAGTAGAGCTCCTTGTGAAAGAGTTCGTCCAGGGAAGTACTGCCACCTTGTCTATTTCTGCCGCCAAGCAGTAATGATGTTTTGAACGGTAAGGGTGCTGGTGAAATTAAAGGCACATGGGATTTTTGGACTTAGGTATGTCATATGGTGACGCGCGCAGTGGCGGTGCCTCTCAGATATTTGAGATTTAAAGCTTTGAGTGGCACTGCAACTGTTATGAACAGGCGTGTCGCTTACCATCACGACTAGTCCGTGCCGTCGCATAGTATCATAAAAAAAAAAAGATTTGCACTGTGGTCGCTAAATGACGACCCCAGATTTGATTCTCGATGGAACTAATTTGGGAAATGAACTCTTCTGAATGGATTCTGGTCTGGGCGTTCTGGACATTGCCCCAGAGTTGCTTCCAGTGCTCTGGTTTTTTTTAATGTTACCAAGTGACGGTACGAACAAGACATGCGCCTGGTGGTAAGCCACATGTCTATCCATAGCAGTTGCAGTGCCACTCTGAACTTTAAATCGCAGATCTGAGGTACATTGCCACTGCGCCGGTCACACTGAAAAATAAGTTGACAAATCCAGTATGCCTATAATTTTACCAGCAACTTAATTTTTTTTTTTGATGATAAACCCTTCAGAACCGGAACGCAGTAATGCTCACATTACTGCTTGGCGGCAGAAATAGGTAAGGTGGCAGTATTTTCCTGAACGAACTCTTTCACAAAGGAGCTCTTGCGCTCCTGCGTTCATAGTACATGGTATTCCCTAATCAGAGTATAGTTCTCATTAGTGCTGTTAAGTATCACTGAAATTTGAAATATCTATTAGAAAGTAGAATACTTTTCTTAATTTACTATTTCATTTGCAGCGTGAAGTTTAATAGCATTAAGCAAGGTAAACGACTCTTTTATGGGACACTGTATACGTTTTTACAATAAGATTCCGGAGCATATTATATTAAGATTATCATTTCCTAAGTTTGAAAATTACATTATTAACATTTAAATTGTAAAGTCATATTACAAAATTTAAGACTACGTGTTAGATAAAGATATATGGAATGACGACATGGCTCTAGATTCCAAACAAATTTGATTCAAAGTGTATTCCATAGAATTCAATTTTATTTGAAAAGAGTTTTTTGAGTTTCTTGAGTAGAGAGTTTCTTGTTCGTTCTTCTCAGGGAAGTCAGCGTAGTATACGAGCTGTAGCTTAAATGTGATGTGTTTTCAAATGTAAATTTATTTTACCTATGGAATAAATGATTCTTTGACTTTGACTTTAATGTCGTATTACAAGTTCAATACAATACAAATACTCTTTAGTACACATAACAACAAAAAACAAAAGACAGGTACAACTGGCGGCGTTATTGCTACATAGCAATCTCTGGGTTAAGAGGATAAACGTAAAGATAATTAATTGAGGGCTCAACATTAGTAATTCACTAAATACGAATTGCATTACAATTACAAGTTTGCGTTTGGATTGTATTACAAGAATTCACATCCTTGCTTTAATAAGGCCACATCGAAAACGAAACGACGACAATAAATTAGTAGATAATACAGGAGTCATAAAGTTTCACATATACATAATTTGTTTCAAATAGGTCATATGATTTATATGACCTGCACGTGATAAAAACACTTTTGACGTATAATCACATGGCTTTTACTTTTAAATCTAGAAGATGTAAAATTTATAAATTGTTGCCAAGAAATTGGTACATAAGCAATACGATTTAAATGAACATGATACGCAGTCAGTTCTAAAAACAACAAGTATTAAATTACGATTAACATGTCGCTCCCACATTGTACGGTCATACCTACCATATATATGTGTAGGTAGACACATTCTACTGCAACATTGTACATTTCCTGTTAGCGTGTAGTTATACTTGTAATATAACTTTATCACCACACCGATTTACATAACTTTATGATATGAAAATCGCTAGCGAACGAGGTCGAAGATATTTTTCGTTGTGAGCTATCTTCAGCACAAATTGCACGTAATAATATGTATGTGTACTAATTCTTTTAAGAATACTAATGAGACTAATACTCATGATCAGTTTTTTCTTGAAAATCTGTCAATGTGCAAAAATTTCTATTTTGACTGATTTCAAAATAAGGAGGTTCTCATTTTTTTTGTGTATGTTACGCGATTGCGCCGACATTTGTAAACCGATTTCGATGATTCGTTTTAGTTGGAAAGTGGTTCCTCAGTACCAAGTGCTCCCATTCAAATTTGAAGACAATGTCCCACTTCAAAGGATGGTTAATTAGGGGATGAAACTGGTTTATTGGAATTCGTCCTCTTGCCAATAACCGATTTCAATAAAACTTGGCAAATATATGTAATACCACAAACTTTTGAGTATATGTAATACCACGAACTTTTTTTATAAAAAAGTTATGATTATTAAGTCTGAGTATAGGTATTTCAGATTTTTCAGCTTACAACAAGAAGCTCCGGAGACAAGGAGTACCGGGTACGTCTTTCAGTTGCAAAATATTGGCAATAAATCTAAAACTAAAATAAAAATATTTTGAAAATTTTGACTTTCTAGAATAGATGAAAGCAATAAGTTCCATATAACTGTGCCAAATTTTAAGTCGAAGCCTGTATTAGTTGATGATAAGAACAACATACATACAGATAGACGGACGGATCGATACGAACTTGTAAATTTTATCATGAGGGTCTATTTTTACCCTTTAGATCAACCATTTCAAAAGAAAGAATTTCCAGAATCACCACGCTCAGCGAGTAACTTGGTGAATAGAGTAAGTAAAGCTGCAATCTTAATGCATATCTAAATCAGCTCTGGTATTATTCCCCAGTTGCTTTCGACGACAGCCAGGGAAAGACATAGGGGTCTTCAGAGAACCACAAAGTAAAACTAATTAAGGTCAAAACATGACAATTTCTTTATAAGTACTTTTAAAGATATTGTTCATAATTATACCGCAGGGTGTTAACTTAGGGACCAACCACATTTATTCACACGGGTTTGCTTTGAGCCGGTCTGCAAAGCTTTTATATCCATGCAATAAGAGCGAAAAAGACGTTGCGCATTTTTTTAGTGTCGATAGGTGTGATTATTCCACCCATTAATACGAAAATTTTTTATTGAAACTCCTCAAGAACCGCGACGAAATTATTTTTAATATATTTACTAAATGTCATACCCACTTGACCAAAACACATGGAACGCAATCACATCGGCACCTTTTCTTTGTATATATTCGACTGCTATAGAATAGTCTTTTTGACGTAGAAGTATTTAACCCGTAATCCTCCACTGTGAGATTCTTCTTCGCTCCGCTTCGCGCAACAGCTTGGCTAATTCATATATAACATGCATCAAATAAAAATCGGCAAAAATCATGAAGAGGCGAGTGAATTATAGCTTTCGTTTATATATTACTTTAAGAGAACAATGAGTTTAACTTTATCGATGTTATAGGAATAAATAGGAAAGCTTTGGGATTTCCCAAACACATATATTTGATAAATCTCGCAAAATGATATTCTACAAATTATGCTGTTATTTGTAACTATCAAACAAGGTAGTTCCAGATGATTAAAACTATATGTACTCATTATACTCACGTTATGTGGTTTGAATATAAAAAACAAGACTAATAAAATATTTTTATTTATACGGCATAAAATGATTATTATTATTATTAATATACATTGGATAAGGAGCTGTGTAAGCAGTTTGAAAACAGCAACGACCTCAATTCACTGTGACTCTTGAGCAATCACATCGTTGTTGTTGACAACTGTATTGCGAAATTTCATGTCATTGGACTGAAATGTATTTTTTGAGTAGGTACCTATTTTTCAAAATTCCTAAGGAAATAATAATACCTACTCGGGTGTAAATTGGTAAACGGCAAAATACCAAGCATGATTTTGATAGAAAAAAGACAAATTTTGTGTCAATATGGAGACATTATTATATTATATTTGAAAGTCCTATGTTAAGTTGTCTTTCGCTTACATGAAATACTTTCAAATAACTTAAAAAACCGAAAAGGACGAATATTTTTTAGAATAATATTGACCAAACCCAGATTAAAAAACTCAGTCTTATTGTAGATAATTACATGGCAGAAATACATTTTAACTATTCACAACTTAATCTTTTTACTTACAGTTTAAGTGATAGTTAAGTTTTACTTACGAACGGAGTTCCGTTTGACTACTTTTTTCAAATAGATACTTACGTTGGAAGATTTTTTCATTGTACAGCTTCTGCAAATCAACGAAAATGTAACATACATACTACTATAACTTAACAACAAACCAAAATATAAATTCAGATAAATATAACTTTTTGTTTATTGCCTTTCATTTGCATCCAGTATAACACGAAGAAATATTTTTTTTCTACATAAAAAGAAGAATTATGCACACTATTTTTTAGCGTCTGCCAATGAATATTAATTACGGTGCGAAGGAAATATTAAAAAAAAAATATTCATTCATTTGAATAACAAAATCTAAGCACGTTTGTTATTAATGATAACTAACACGTACTTAGACAAAATTATACTTATACTAATTCTTACTGATTGATGACGTAATTTAAAGCAACTCAATTTTTAGATAGTGATTTCTGTTTGTACAGTCAAGATCTCATCAAGCTTGACATTTGTCTTTTGGATCGTTCTGATTGTAAGGAGTTAAATTAAAATCTCAAGTCATTTAAATCAAAAGTCTCAAGTTTAACGTACTCTAGACTCCGTTCTTAAATCGCAGTCGTATCTGTTGTCTACTGTAAATAATCTAGATTATAGGGAGTTGAGCGGACAAATAAATAAATAAATGGAATATTTTCTTGTAATTTTATTAGGAAAACACAGATCCTAAAGATAATATTCGTCATTTATATATCTATTTACAATTATTCGATTAATCAGTTGTTCTGAAGTTATTATAACTTATGTATAAGTTTAGTAATACATGCATATCTTATGACACAACCATACATTTAACACGGTGTTTCAATAGCCTGATTCGTTGACAATCTGGCTAAAATGTTCCACCATAATAAAAAACTATAAAACTGGAACTGATGATAATTAAATTTCAAACTTAACAAAAGCACGAGAGTCGTGTGTTAGAAACGAGGGTGCCGACTCAAGTCCGGCCCTCAGTAACGCTGCCAGGCGCAAGCGGAGGAAGAGGCGGCGGCCCGTGGCGCCGCACCCTGCCGTCACAGCTCCGAGAAGAACTCCGGCGAGGAGTGTGGCGTCGGCGGTGCGTGGTGTGGCACGGCGTGCTCGCGTCCGACCAGCGCCAATCGCTGCTTCAGCACGTCACGCTCGTGCGTCACGCGCGCTACTTGCAACTGTAGCATGTGCAACTCATCTTGCAACGACCTATTTGTGAGTTCTAACTCTTGACGTTGCTGAAGTCGCTTACTGCGACAGTTTTGAGCATACCCGCGGTTCTTTAATGTGCGCCGCTTCTGTTTGAGTCGAGTGACGTCCTCTCTTGGAAATCCATGTAGTCTTTTGTTAAGTTCGCGAACACTGAGGGTCATGAGTTGGTCGTCGCTTATAAGGTCGTCTCCGCACGATGACTGTGGATAAGAGGCGTGATGACTGGTGCGCGGTGACATGGCGGAGCAGGAACTGGCAGGCCTCAAAGCGACTTGTTGCATATGGTGATGCTCTTGTTCTCGCCAGTCGCGGCGGTCCCATTCTTCAAAATTACCACACTGTACGGTACGCATATCCAGTGGCTCTCGCATATTAGGCAGCCATAAAACATCGTCGACTAATGCAGCGCGACACGGGCTGCGGCCGATTGGCGCCGGAGGAGTTTCTGGTGGTGTACTGGGATCCACAGCAATAGCGACGTGCGGCTGGGGATATGGTCCAGCATCTGGCCAAGGTCGGCATGCACGAGCACATGCAGGTGGTGTTGCGGTGAGTTCATGCCATCCTGCGCGGAGCGGCTCGCGTTTGACAAGTTCACTGTCGCCCAGGTGATCGAGTTCAAAATTTTGTACATACTCGTCTGCAAGCTGGTCATCACCTCCACGGTGAGGCTGTGGCTGTAAAGTTTGCATGGCGCTCGCCTGGGAGCAATCCACGAGCGCGTGCTCCACCATGGGGCCGTGCGGGGCGCGCGCCGGCCGAAACAAGACTGCCGCGGCGTCGCAGGGCGGCTGAAGACTCCGCCCTCCGGCCCAATGACGTTTCGCGACGCGCGCAATACACATACAAAGGCTGTGTTTTCGCGAACATAAGTAGCATTAAGTACTGTATATTATAAATACAACATGACATTTACGATACAACCACGCTTGGATGTTATACTCGTAATATGCCTGGATTTGTCTACGAGTTATAGATTATTGAATTAAAATTAATATCGTTAATAATATCTAGACTCGTAAATACTAAGTAATTTACTTAAGTGAGTCATTATTTTGTGATAATTAATTAACTATAACAACACTAACAATGAAGTAAACTCGTGAACAGTATTTTGCACATTTCATATAATTCAACGTAGCTCTGCTACGTTCTCCCCGTAGCACTTGTCTACGACAGTATACATATGTAAATGGCTAAAAATGAAAACGGTTTCTCATACTAAGTTATTTACAAATTGAATATTAGCACGTTTTCAGTTATACATTTAAGAATAATTTAATTACTTTATACTGCTAAAATAATAACATAAAGCATTAATTTATTTGTAAAGGATTACTTATTTATAGTTGCCAAAATTTAACTTGGATTACCTGAAAGGGTGTAAGCCTATAACATAAAACTTTAGTATCTATCAACATATAAACTTGCCTTACTAATTATTAACTTAAAAGCGTTTTAACAAGCTTTGTTGTTTCGGCAGCAAGCGGGCTAACCCGAACAAAGTGATTTCACGCGTGGCCGGCGCGGGCGGGGGCGAAAGGGCACAAGTCAGCGAGTTTAATCACCACATTATAAACATCAACCCTTCCTTGTTAGCATCTCGTAATTGAAGCGAGATTCGCATATTACAGACCGAATAACGAGTTATTAGACATCTTTAAAGGGCTGCATTACAATTCATAACTAGCTGTTTCTTAAATTAAAAATACTCTGAAGTTTTCCCATTGCAATACACAAAGCATATTGTTCGGTTTATCCTTTTTCATGATTTGAAAATCAAATTTATTAATGGCTAGAAACAAAAGGTGCAACCCACGTATCTACCCAATTAATGTCACAAAAACCACTGCAGGTGGTTTTATTTAGTATGGTAGTATTTTTAAGTATGCCATAAATATTTATAACGAAAATTCTGTGATATTTTCAAGATTTATGTAACGCAATGGAGCAAGATATTCAATCAAAGAGGAAGTGTGAGAGATAGGGTTGTGCAGAGGAGCGGAGGAGCACAGTCGGTGGGCCGCGGGCTGACGCAGCCGCCGCTGTTTGCTCGGTCGGTCAACATTGTTAGCGCTCGCTGCGTCGCTGACGTACCCGCCAGAGTCCAACCAAGACCCTTGTGCGAATTTACTCGAATAATTAATATCGTATATATATAATTAAATTCGATTTAAAGGCAAAGAATTACAATCACCTCTATCAAACTATAGTTTTCTGAAACTCTGTGTTTCCCGCACAATTTGGGGCTATTCAAGGCTAGAGTGAATATGCATTTTTTTACGCAAACGCGTACCATCTTCGGTCACATCGTCGCTTAACATCAGGTGAGATTGTGGCCAAGCGTGTGTCTATTATTTATAAAAAAACTCAGATTAATGATTCCCTATTTAGGAATACTTCCGCTGTAATAAAACTTATTGTATGCTATAGTAAAAAGCTAATCTTCAACAAGATCACAATGTAATGCAAGGATAGAACTACATAATTTCTAAGTGTCAACTAGACCCGAAGGTTATAACTAGAACTACCACAGTATCGAATTTAATCACTAAGTTAGCATTTAAAATATTGACAGTGCTAAATATTCCCCTAAAGCCATTCCCTGGACGACTCGCACAGCAAATGTTATTACATGATTAAGCTTCACCGACATGTACCAACTTCTATTTGACTCTGCTCTGTTAATTGCCCTCTTTCGAAATGCGTAAGTAAATAACTAACTGTAGAGATACTTTACCTGTTAATTTTGTATTATTGTTATTTGACTATCGTTTCATTAGCACCTTCTTTATTGCACCAAACAAATACAAAAGAAATAATAATTGTACCTACAAAAGGTGAACAAAGGTGGACCTGTCTCAAAAAGATATCTCTTCCAGCCAACCCAAGCCGTGAAAACAAAGACCGTAATAGGGCAACGGCGTGCAAGACAGAAAGAGCGAGAAATATAATAAACTCAGATAAATAAAATACTTGTTATGGTCGAATTTTAGTTTTTTTCGTTGTAAGTTGTAATTATTTTTATATATAACGCTCTTATAATAACTAAAGTATTCATATTCGTATGGATGTTACTTGTAAAAACAGAGCAAACGCTTTTAATGCGAAAGTATACACAAAGAAATACTTTTTCTCTAAAATTTTAACTGGAAAGAGCTCTATAACCCTCAGTCCTCGTTGTTATTCCGTAAACAATGCAAAGTGGACCCTGCGGCGGCGCGGCGGGGCTTGGCGATCGTCACCATGAATCTCACTACCACCGTCGGCCGAGACACGTTCGCGGCAAATCGCAAGCTCTTCATCAATCGATTGCTTCTTGTGCGGACGACGATCCAGTCTCACCCTTCACTATAACGGTTACCTTTTCACTCAGCTCAAAATAAGTACGGGATCTTCAGTTTATTGTTGTTCGCTAATCAGTGAAATAAAGTTGTACAGTACTTTACTTGGAGGTAGCCTTAGTTTACGTTATTGGTTAACACGGCTAGTATGTATTAATTATATGTTGATCTAGAAAACAACAGGTTTCGTACAGATTTTTTCTTTTAATTTTTTTATAATACTATGTCACGGCGCGAAGTTGTGCGTCTGGTGCCACTCAGAACTTTAAATCGCAAAGATCTTAGGGGCACTGCCACTGCGCCCGTTACCCTAAGACGTAAGTTGACAAGTCCCATGTGCCTGAATTAATAGGTTTTCACGGGATGGTTTAGTTTAACATACAACCTATTTTTTATTTACACTGAATCCCTCTTTAACCGTATCTTGAATATTATAACATTATTCAACGAAATAAACCACCGTCATTGTACGCTTTCAAAAAAAGATGTAATTTATGTTTCTTTGTTTTTCACATATAGATGAATTATGTGTAATGTTAGTGAGAACAAATGTCTTAATCCATAACCAATATAGTGTATCTCAGTGTAGTCTAATGCTATCTAATAAATTTTATATGTTACTTTGTTAAAAATTTTAATTTAATTTTATTTGTATGTTGATTTAAGATTGCCGTCAACACTTGTAATTGTTATGTTTACATTGTAGATCACCTAAGTCAAATAGGATAAGAATGTGTTGTGAACATAATGTTAGTGTTGCTAATAAATAAAAGTAATCACAACATTTCCAATGCACTGTTTCAGTATTCTTCAAATGGACTAAGTCTAAGCATCTAATGACCTCGTGGCTTCTATCTGATAAGCCGAGATATGCGGTCGATGCCCTCGCACATGGAGAAGTGTCGAGTCAGAGGTCAGACAGACTACATTAATTTCCTGTAGTAATTTCTATGTTACAAAATTGCAAATGTACTCTTGCTCACAAAAGTGTCGTATAGCGCAATATTACAATTTCCAAGACGTACTTTTTCGAGAAATATTTATCAACGGTTTATAATACTTTATGTAATTTATTTTTTCCACGCAAAGATATTTAAGATATTACTTTTTACTTACAAACACACTATGATCAAGAGCATGTTATGTTGGTAGTTAAATTACGTAGAAATTATGCTGCTTTTGGTAAGAACGGTCAAATATGTCAAGGTTTATGTGGTGTGGACGGGACGAACAAGTCATGCGCCTGATGGTAAGGTAAGCTGTCAATAACAGTTGCAGTGCCACTCAGAGCTTTAAATCGCAAAGATCTGAGAGGCACTGCCACTGCGCCCGTCATCCCACGTGCCTGTAATTTCACTAGCATCCTTCAAAACCGGAACACAGTAATGCTGACATTACTGCTTGGCGGCTGAAATAGGTAAGATGGCAGTACTTCCCTGGACGAACTCTTTTACAAGAAGCTCTACTGCTACTAAATATTAGACATAACATACGTTACTCTGATCCGAAGTAAGTAACCAAACACTTGTGTTTTGGAAATCGGAAACAACAACGGCACTCCAAACAGCCAGACTCGAGACAATATAGAAAAGTTAGTTTTTCAATACAGACATGCGGACTCCTTGAAAACCGGTGTTTACTCGACTGTGGATTGTCTAAAAAAAGAAAAAATATAATAGAATATGACTAGAATATCGTTCAATTTCATTGCAACCATTACCCCAGTCTATGTATGATCTATGGCAACCATGGTATACAGTTTGAATGAGTTCGAGGTACAATAAGTACATCCGAGTAGAAGACTGATAAGTCGTTGACGTCCATAATATTGAGAAAACTAAAAAGACAATAATGAAATGTCATCGATTTAAGATTCTGACGAAAACTGCCATTTACAGTATCTAACTACTAAGTTGTTGAACGCAAACATACGTTACGTAATATAATAGCATACGAGTGCTGGGATATTCAAGGTTAATTTAATTATTTATTAAACGAGAGTATGAGAATAAAAAATTGTACTATTGAGAGAGTAAAAGAATTGTACTATGCTAACCGATCAACAGTTGGGTCCAAACTGATAATTCCTGGATATATGAATAATTTGTAGAATACCGAGCTAGTTTTTTTAACGATAGATTAGAGAGTATGATGTTCCTGACAACTTTTGCTTTGTATAATATTTTTAAAAGTCATCAGTTTTTTTAGTGGAGAAGTATCCATTTCATTTGTTGTCTTGAAATGTAGGGAAGTTCTTTTTTATGATATATTTTTATGACGGACGAACAAGTCGTGCGCCTGGTAGTGAATGTTACGCCCATCCCCAACAGTAGGTAATCATTCTCTACAAAGAGAAAATAATCCATCTGCAGATACTTATAGGCTATACGAGTAAGAGGCGGTAAACTACCGTATTTTTTATGTATTATAAGTATAAATAAATATAAAATGTAAGTATAAATAATAAATAATTATAACAAACTGGTGGAGTAATTTCACAAAAAATAATTGAATATCAATGCAATCAAAATTCAAATAGGTACAGTGAATAGCGACGTTGAAAACCAACTATAAAGATCCGACGAAACAAGCACATAGAGAGATTCGTGAGGTCCACTGGTTTGTTCCGTGGCTTAGTTGACATGGCGCCTGCCACGGTTTGCCGAACCGACGGCAATCAGTTCGAATCGGACCGGATCGAAGGAACTTTCTTAGCGTTCGATCTTTGTATTAATAATTATAACAAACTAGTTGAGTAATTTCACAAAAATAATTGAATATCAATTCAATAAAAACTTAATATGTTAAAAAATATATAAAACAACAATATCCCGTCTGCAACTACTAGAGAATGATTGGAACTGTTCTATACGCAAGCCAGTTACTATATATTTTCCTTATTTCTTTACTTTACTATATTTCCAAGATAAAAAATAAAATGTGTATTTCTCCATAGAATTTTTTTTAATTTGAAACTACACATTTCAAGAAATTGGACAAGAATATAAGTTGTTGGGAACGTCATAATTAATCATTAAAAAAATCAAAACGGTATTCGGCAAAGTATTCCTATGTTCACGAATTATCAACTGTGTGACGGCCAATTGTAAAAATGACTAATTTACTGGATTAACAAAGGAAGAAATGAAATCGTTATTGGTTCAATATTGAAATATATTTAATACTAGAAAGTAGTACCAGGATTAATAAAAAAATATTTGTAAACAAAAACCCACTTTCTACCTTAGTTACAAAATGTACTTATTTTATTTAATACAAAATTTGGTAGAAAAGTAATTTCATGTTTAATTGTCCAAATATTTGTAAAATAATTAATAAATACGAAGCATAATTATAAAATTGTACAAAAATTATTGTTATGTATACATTCGAATGATTTAATTGACTGATTAATTTATGATAATAATAATGTCATGACAAATTCAGACTTATAAATGTAAATATATAAATAATAAATTTCGCACACTATTATCTGATTTAAAACTTTAAAATGCATATTATAATTCTTGTGATGAGTAGAATTTGTGTTTTTTTCCTTAAATCGAAAATATGTATAGGTACTCATATTATAAAAGCAATTAAGATATATTATTGTGAATACCTGTATACATTAGTACCATTAGAATATAATAAAAATATATAAATTCCATCGTAAGGTATGGCAGCGCTATCACTTTGGAAGAAATGCTTATAAATTCTAGTTTGTACAGTCAGTCTTACATCTAGGCTTGAACAATAAGAATTTAGATGTAAACAAATTAAATAGGTATACTGGTAAAAGGATACAAATCTTTGACCGGGTTGTATAATTATAATTTTGATTTGGTTTGATAATTATAATTCAATAATTTTGTACAAATTCTCTTTTTATTTAACCCCATAAACTATTTGTAAATCTTTATAACACACTTACACGTAAAATCTTTTAAATATTTAAATAAATAAAATCTTTTAAATTATTAAATACTACACCTATGACCTTAACTTCCTAAGGCCCCGTGTACATCGAAATGTACATAACATGTGAAGTGATTCAGACCCAGGGAATATTACTCCAATGATCACGTAAACGCTCGGTGTACAATATTATGAATATACCGCGTTCAAATTTAGCGCTAAATTGTATAGAGTCAAGGTATTTTTGTAGGTACTCTAGTACCAAGACAAATGCTTTAAACAATCCCGGCGTCGTTCTTCATACAAAACGGAGGCTATAGTTGCTTTTGGACCTGAAGGTACTTATATTTAGTACATTTTAATGTACGCTGGGCGTTGAGCGCTTTCCTCAGTTATTATTGTTATTCTTATATATATTTTAATCAACTGTATTAAAAAGGCACTTTCTAAAGTATAGGATATATAACACATATAACACTTCAATAATATAATCGATTTCAGAATGTTTTTGACCTGTATCAGCTCTGTAACTTAACATACGTAGATAAAACAAAATACTTTTCAAAACATAAGATTTACATGGAAGACTTTGTTCGATCATGATATACATATGCTTCTGATGCATTTGACTAACTAAAATAATAATTATAACATACGTGCAAATGGTTTCAAACTTAACAGAATAACAAAGACATATATGATATACCTGTGTGCTGAACTAAATCGTCCTTTCGATTGGTAGTTTGCCCAAATGCAGATAGAGCGTGAAATTCCGCAAATATTTTTTATCGTTCATTAATTTAAAGGCTCTGCATCTCTGACAATGCTAAGAGATAATAATAAGTGGCACAAGCAACAAGCTACTCCAACTAACACAAACACAAACAGGTACATAAAATCTATACAAAAAGCCAATATTATATCTATTTATTTGTTTATTTCTTTGTTTACCCAATCGATTATTGCTGAGGTGTATAATGTGCTAGTGCGTAATCGTGATAGTACATCATAATAGCCAATGGTTGGCCAAGGATGAGAGAGCTCCACACGATAATGTTACCCCACCGTGGGCCGAAGCGGATTTCTGCGAATCGGGAGATGACTGCCAATGGAGGCTGAGCCATCATTCCCAGAAACGCCCAGATGCGGAACATTTGTAGAGGTACACTTACCTATAACAGCGAAAAAATAATAATTAAAGGATGGGCTTCTCTATTAACACGTTCATTGCTAAGCTGGAAATTGGAATTTTGAGTGGTGACCGCTATACTATTTCGTGCAGAAACTCGATAGCGACGTCCACGTGATAACGCGTGACCGGCCATTTGGTGACAACTCTTATACTTTGGTGATTGGCGGCAATCAAAGTGTTAAAAGCGTTCGTAGGTAGCCGAACCATTTTCTTTTATGCTTAATACCAAGTGACATGACGATCAAGTCGTCAGTTGTCAGTTAATGTTCATCAAGAATGCGAACGTTTAGGCAGCAAGATATTTATTTTTGGGAGAATTTCTTCGACGAACTACTATTGTGGAGATCATACCTTAGGAATAACTACATTGAAACTTGACATTAACTTACATCTATCAATTTGTGTTTTTTTTTTTTCAAGTGACGGGACGAAAAGGCGTGCGCCTGATAGTAAGCTACACGCCTATCCGTAACAGTTGGCATTCTTGATGCACATTGATTGACAATACATCGAGACTGAGGGTCATATTCCAGAACTCTACTCAATGCTCAAGTCAGGACTTGGTATGATTCAAAGCACTAGAAATCATACTCAAATCCTTGCCATTAGGGTCGTATTTCCAGTGCTTGAAATCATACTCAAATCTGCTCAAATCCTGACTTGAGCATTAAGTACAGTTCTGGAATACGACCTTGAGACTGGCTCAAGCCTAGTGGCCGCTAATAAGCAAATAATAGTAAAAAGCCTCACAGACGGCCGCAATGTCCGATGTTTTGAATAACAACCGAAACCTCGAAGTCATATTAGGAAACGTTTAAGTTACATATTTTGTTAGAAACTAAGTGAACTAAGTAACAAAATAAACTAAGACTTGAAAAACAAAAATAATTTTTAAACATTTTTTTTAATTTAAAAAAAAAATTAAAAAATAAAATAAACTAAGAGAACTAAATAAACTAAGTGAAAAATCGACTTATATGAATATATTACGTAGCTTTATGTTCTACTTCGTTAGACTTTAGTAAAAATTTCTATTACTAAACCATAGGTTTCCAAACTTTTTGGCTCACCGCCACTCAGAATAATAAAAAGATTTTAACGCCCACCACCACCAAAAAAATTATTGGAAACAGGTATTTTTTATATTAACTTGACACAAAAAACCACATGGAAAAAATTATACATGTAGTGTAGTTTATACAGATAATTCAGGGTTTTTTTTTCAAATGTGGTGGTTTCAAATGCACCTCTTGGACAGTATCAATACCCTCAACTGCTTCCGAGGCCTATCACCCCCTAGGACTCCCCTATCTTCCCAGTGGGTAGGGACCACTTTAGAAAACCATGAACTAAACGAACAGTAAAACTCTCTTTTATACAGTTAACCTATGTTAACTTACATTACTATATTTGGTTGCCTACGTGGCCGAACGGTTACCGTGCCGGACTGCCACGAAGAGGTCCCAGGTTCAATTCCCGGGCCGGGAGAAATATTTGTATGGCCCACATTTATTTTTTTCTCGTGAGTTTGGGTGTAATTTGTGGTTGTCTATATGTGTGTCCATGGCACCCGCGACACAGGGTTTCCCTAGTGCGGGACTATGATGTGTGTATGCGTTATTATTATTATAATTATAGTATTACTGTTAATATAGTGACAATAAAAACTCACCAAATACTCGTGGAAAAAAGCCGAAATAAAGAAGACCACAACAGCGGCAGTGCCTTTACTGTATCCCCGCGACGTAACAGGTTTGTAAACATGTCTCACGGCCCACATGTGGACGGGCATATTCCAGGAACTCCAGAACACGTTGATATTGTTCGCGTTCCACCAATCCCCGTAAAACTTGCGATCGGCAAATTGAAGTAGCTCACCCATCAAGTTTAGGAACGAATGGAATGATAAATAGAAGAAGCACAACCATAGAAGATGATTCGGAACCTGAAAAGGAGAGTATTAGTTTTATCGTCTAGTTTTGTACCTAATCGTTTGTAGATAGAATTTTCCCTCAATACGGCTAAAAGCGATGGAAAACGATGCGTTGCGACGCCTGAGCAGTGACGACGACGCTGCGTTGTACTACATAATTATAAATTAGGACTACATGCCACATGATACTTTGAAACAGTACGCGGGCGCATCAGACTAGGGGCTAGGAGATGAAGCGCGGAGGGGTGCTGCGATGCGTAAGAGACTCACTACATTTATTCACATGGAATCACCTTGAGCCGGTTAGAAACACTTTTATGTCCATGCAATAGGAGCTAAAAAGACGTTGCGGGTTTCGCTTCAGAATCGCTGACGCGAAACGCACTGTCATTTTCGCTCTTATTACATGGACATACAGATTTTTCTGAGCAGCTTAATGCGATTCCGTGTCGATTAATGTGGTGACTCCCTAGGTAAGCAGCGCGGCGACGTTCCGTTGCGACACCGCATTGCTCGTGTGGCACTCGGCGTTGAAATGATGGTGTTGCGATGACACAACGCACCGACTGCACCCGTGTGGCATTACTCTAACGCCGTAAATTAATTTTTCACCTCGCTAGCTCGGAAAGGCTCTCTTTCTCATTATAAATCTGCGCGCAAAAGCTTTTTAAAATTCGAACATGACGATGGATTGTGGTGCAGTTAACTTTTTCTTTGTATGAAAAAAAAACAAAATGTCACGTCCAACTATGCGAATTGTCGTACATTATTTATGTACCTAATATAAATCCGTTGGTATATTATAATCTTAATTGTTGACATTAACAACGACAACTAATTTTGTTTGTTATAGTTTAACTATACGAAAACTAAAATAACTAAAACGAAATAACACTTTTGCGCGCAAATTTCTAATGAGAAAGAAAGCCTTTCCGAGCTAGTGAAGTGAAGAAAACATTTGTAACTACTCCGATGTATATTATTCTACGAATATATGTAGAGCGCACAACTTTTATCACTTTCTACGACTGGCATAGATTTATTTTAGATTACGTCATGGATATCCCACTTACCCGAAAATAAATATAAATTATATTCAATCAATTTAATTAATAAATATTTGCGACAAGTACCTATTTATTTTGACTTACAGCGAGTTTCAATAGTCGCTCTGTGATCCTAGCGACATCCATGGTAGAGAAAGTGTCTACGGAATTAGTCACGGACGGTATCATCCACTGCTGGAACAGCGCCAAGATTAGATGAATCCCAAATATCACTTCCAGTAGTCTTTTTATTACGAACCTCTTCCTGATACTTTAAAATAAACAAAAAATAATAATTTTCTTCTTTTTTTCGCAGCTTGGGAGAAAGTGATAGTGTTGTCGTGTCATTATTGGTAAGTTTCAACAAACATTTTTGCCTCAAAAAATTTGTTATTTCTAAATTTCCAATACAATCATTTAGAATTCTCAACTTTTATACGGTTCAGTAAGCATCAATATAATTAATATAATATAATAATAATAAGTTTCAAAATAGATTTAAGTAATTAAAAAAACATCACACACACACAAGGTGATCAAGTTGACGCTCTTTAACGCTAAATAAACTTATAATACAACTTATGATTCCGTCACATAATAAGGCTGCACCCACAGGTGAACAATAATAAGACAACTATGAAATGTAGACATGCATTACAGGATTATTTCTTAAGGCATTTTACATACATTTTAATGAAACTATTCTAATAATGATAATAATAGTGACACTATTAAAGAACTAACCGCGTGGTTCGAGGGAAATTCAACTCATAGCAAAGGGTGGGAGCGAGGAGGAAGTAAAACAGATCATTGAGGTACAAATTGTCGGGATATTTGACAATGCCGGCCAGCGCATCATGATCATTCTTCTCGTCTTCGAGCGTTTCTGTAGAAAATGACATTCTGTTAATTTGGAGTCACTTTAGTTTAATAGTTTTCTTTATAATATCAAATGACGGGACGAACAAGTCGTGCGCCTGTGATGTGAACTTCTTGCCCGTTCTGAACACGAGAAAGTATACTAATAATAATAATCACCATAATAACGGTTCTTGAACCTGAGTCCCGAATGAGACTGTGTCATTGCCGGAGTATATTGCTTCTCTCATTTAAAAATTAAAAATTCATCTTTTAGGCCTTGAGAAAAGCGAGAGTCTAAAATAGATATAATAACGCACAGGCTCACGCGCGCGCAATACAGGGTTTTCCCGCTCTATGAAAACCCTGTATCGCGGGTGTCATGGACATACAAATATACAACGACAAATTACACCCCAACTCACGAGAAAAATAAATGTAGGCCTTACAAATATTTCTCCCGGCCCAGGAATCGAACCCAGGAACTCTATGTGGCAGCCCAGCACGGTAACCGTTCGGCCACAGGGGCCGATAATACTGATATTTTGATAAACTTTACCAGATTATGATTTACAGCTGGTATAAACTGATCACATTACGTCAAGCTATATATAGTATGTAACCTTCTATTTCCAGTAGAACGTTAATGTATTTTTCTTGGTGTTTGGAACGGTCAAGATGTTCAAGCCTTTAAACTACAATTACGACGTTGGACGATTGGACGTTGAGTACACGCGTTGGAGCTATCTGAGCTTTACGGAAGTAGAAAATTGCATTGTTATCTTTACATTCCAATGTGTTTATTTGACGTTATAATTGTCTCGCTTTTCGGTACACTTCTGCAATTAGACGTTTAACGCTTCAGATATAAGGGTCATATTTGAAGTAATGTTTTAAAGAATTAATGAAATTTTCAATAATAAGCTTGTATTTTCTACCAGTTTACGTAAAAGTCGTATAACTCCAATGTTTGAACATTAGAAAATGGGCCTAAAAGGTGCATATAGTTATTTGCGTAAGTTACAAAACATTTTTATTATGCGTCTATAGTTAACTGTTTAGTTTCTTAGCGTTGGTGCTCTGTATTTATGTTATAAATTTAATATTTGATCAACAGGGAACGATAAGAATGCATTATTATAGTTGGATAAGTAGTTTAAAAAAACAAGCATGAAAACAAAAATTGAACAGTAGAAAATCGCTTAAGTATTTTGTTTCCAATATTATTATTAACAAAAACACTGCTCATCGCAATCATAAAAACTCACTACATAGCGAGGCTTAAGAAATGCAAACACGTTACACCGGATGATGTATGTAAAGTAATTAATGTGCCAGACAACCACTCCAATTACCTGATCCCTTTGATTCCGTGTACTATGACTACCAGAGCAATGAAATTCACCCACACTACCCAAGACCACCGAGATCAAAATCCAGAACTTTTGAAAAGTTCGTTGCCCAATTTGGTACTATTTGTGGAATCGAATTTTAAAAGCAGTGAAAGAGTTCGCCCAAAGAAGTACTGACACCATACCTATTTCTGCCACCAAGCAGTAATGTGAGCATTACTATGTTCCGGTTTTGGAGGGTAAAGGTGCAGGTAGAATTACAGGCACATCGAAATTGTCAAATTATGTCTCATGGTGACGGGTGCAGTGATCTACTTATACAGCGCCCACATTGCAAACAGTTTGGGCTGGCCGCCGAGGACATCAAGTATATTGATCGTGTGATCGAACAATATAACTGAAGCGCAAGAATTTTCAAGTTACACAACATATACTTAGCCCATTTGATTTAAGTATCTTAGGGCGCCTTCAAATTAAACGTTTATGATGCGTCAGTGGCGCAGCAGCCGCGCCACTAATAATTTTCAAACATATAATTAGAGATGGAAAATACTGCTTATTTTTTTTAAACGTTAAAACGTAGTGCTTTTCTAAAAGTAAGCGTGGTTTTAAAAACGCTTTTTAATTTGAAGCTTATAAAAAAGTTTAGAAAATCGTTTAATCGTTTAGACTTTTATTTTAAACAAAACAGTACAGAGTACTAAAAAAATCGACCTCAAAAGTCAATCATCCCCTAGTTCAGATCTCATCTCATCCCGTTAGAGGTGGAATATTTCCTTCAAATTTAAATGAGGCCCCATCTGAGGTACCCTCTTTCCAACAAAAAAAGAATCATCAAAATCGATTTACAAAATAATGTTAATATATATATATATATATATATATACATATATATATATATATAAATAGTTATCGCGTAACATACATACAAAAAAAACATACAGTCGAATTCAGAACTTCCTCCTTTTTTGAAGTCGGTTAAAAAAACTTGTAACGTTGTGTTGATAGCGAAAAGCAAGAGAGGTTTTAAGTTAATAAGTTTATTTGTAAAACACGAATTTTTTTTTATTTATAAAATTGTTATTCACATTGACGATTATTATTCACTTCCAACTTAGGCACGTTGTAAAAAATGAAATTGTTGAGTATAGAATTGACCAACGCTTACGCTTAAAATATGCTTGCGTAAATGAAATGAAAAGCGTGCTAATGTGCTTATTTTAAAATGCAAACTTTTTATAGTGCTTTTTGTTTAAACGCCCACATCTACAATTATAATTTCTATGAGCGCAGCGCCACTGTTGTGAAATGCGCGCGCCGCATTTGCAGGCAGTCACAATTAGTGAAAACAAATGTACGCGCGGTTGCCGCGTCGCAGTCGCATGGCTTCAGCGCTCCTATAAGTTTTTAATTTGAAGGCGCCCTTAAGGTATGAACATCTATGACAGACTAAGTACGCCATTAGGCATCGCCCACCTTTTCCACCTATACGGCACGCCAAAAACGGACATGCCTCAGACAAAATTTGTGCAACTACATAGCTCAATAACTACTCGCTCTCACTCGGGTTCCCGTCCCGGCTGGGTCACTAGAGCTTTTCACAGTACATGTAGCTTTACCAGCATGCTACACGGTACGTAAAATTTTAAGCCGCTTCGATAGATATCTACACATCACTAACACTTGTAATAGGTCAGAACAAGCCTCCACCTACGCATAGGCGACAATAATTAGCAAAAAGCGTGTCCAAATATTGTTTGCAGTGCTTCAAACATAAATAAAACCTTGCACGACGTGCTTTTGACTTACGCTCTTGTGTGGCGTTTAGTAGCTCATCTGGAACACAATATTATGCTGCATGTTAAAGATTATTTTTAATAATTTAAAGTATTTAGTATATAATATAGAGCTTAAAACTTAAAAGAATACATTACAATATAAACTTTAAAATAGGCATTTACATTTATGCAAATTTAAAAGTTAATTTTGATTTTTTCCCTGGTTTTACCTACACATGAAACTTGGTAACTTCACTTGAAGTTCTTTTATGCGCTGTAAACAGTTCGTTAAAGGTTAGTGCGTTGAAAAAATACTTTTTATATTACCATTAAGTCACAAATTAACTGGTTACTTTACTAAAACAGTCAAATAATGTTCTACGTCGCAAAAGATAAATCTAATAAAAATTAAGGTACACGCAAGTTAATATGGCTTTGCGAATTTATGTTAATATGAAAAGTAAATTATTTAAAATTATTACTTCATTAGTTTCTCGCTGGAAATAATAGTTACAAAATAAATAAAAGGAAGTGTATAATAAAGTTGAGACATTTAATCTCGGTAGCACCCATTTTTGCCCCACGATGGGGTAGAGACCACGTCTTAGACGAGAGGATCGACTTGAACGATAATTTATAGTGTGTGGTATTGTTTAAAACACACTTACTCCAATTAGGGGCGGACAAACTCTGTCTCCTCAATTTATTATTGCTCAATTTCGTCTTCATTCCAATTCTGCACCAATGGTTGGTCTGCGCATAACTCCACAGCTTCAAGAACAGGATCAAATAGAGCATACACACTGTTGATATTCCCACTAAAAATTATAAAATTACTTTTTATTTTCTACTGTTTACTGCCTACCCCTTATGACTACTATCCTACTAACCCCCAGTAGCCAATATAATCGTGACATATTTATTTATGACGAACAAGTATAAAACAACTAAAATAATCACATTTATATAATAAAATGGATCAAAATAGATGCCTTCATGTACCGGGCCCTGTATTGAGTGGTATGTTTAAACCACGGAAGAAAAAACAATGGAAAGCCTTATAAGCCTCGATTACTATCAGACCACAGACCCCAAAACTCACCCTATCTTGATAATGATTGGCCGTAGTTTCTAATTGAAACATATACCAATTCTGGGCTGTTAATATAATTTAAACTTTACCCAATTGGTATATCGTTGAAAGTCCAATGTCTATTATTGCGAGGTAAGACGTTTTAATTTTATATTGAAATTTCATTGAATGTGCTGCCATCTAGCGGCAATAGCTGAAAGACGATGAACAATTAATGCCTATTACCGTGTTCCAAAAAAGTCGATCATATCGCAGTATATATATTGTATATA